GCACCTGGCACCAAGCCACATGCCTTCCTGGGGTCTGTGGGACTGCCTGTAGCCACAACAGTAACAACAGTAATAAAGAAACGTGGTCCACAGCTTTAAAGGATGCATCAGAGACGACAGTTGATACCAATATGATATAGTCCACATCTCAAATGCACTGTGCAACTCTGAGTTTTACAAAATCATGTGGGTGACTGCATCTACTATGGCATGGAGAAAACTACATAGGAAATTACCTGGAGTGCAACGGCAGAACAGAGGAACCTTGTGGCAGGTTCCACTAAAGAGAAGCATGGGGCCTAGCTGTTTCGCTTGTTTGGCTGATGGAGCCCATCTTGATTCAAGACGCTGAGGACATTATTGATCTAAACAAGTTGTCAGTGAAGGAAAAGTTGTAATTGCCGCTGTAGTTCCATTGTAACATACCAGCCCCGAAGGGAAATTAAAGTTTGTAGCTAATAGGGTTGTATGATCCTTCAACCTTTGATGTATTGAATCTAGAGTAGCATGTGGAATACTGATTTGATGCACAAAGGATCATTTTTAACAGCTGCTGTACCTCCAATTTCCTCAGATCTAATTCTCTTTTCGATCCCGACAGGCAGCACGTGCAGTGCGAGACACCTTGGCGGCAAAGGAATGGCACACGGCGCTCTGGGCAGCAGCAATCCATCCTAGCCAGGGATCCTCGCTCCCCTGCCCTTAAGTCGCTTGCTTGAACTCCAACATTTCTGTGAGTCCCTGACTCTTACTGTATGAATAAAACAAGCATGAATGATAACCAGGATGAGCCAGTACTGCTTGCGTGTGTGTTCTGAGAATTAGACAGAAATTGCTCACCTTTGCACGGCTCACTGCATGAAGGACTATTTCTTAGCTTTAGTCTGTAATAATTCTTTCAGTGCCTCAGGGAAGACCGGATCAACTGACTGCACAGCTGATAAACAAGAGGGAAATACAACTCCAGTATCTAAAAGAAAAAGTGTGTCCATGCCCTGTCAACAGCATAAGGGAGGAGCAGCGTGCTCGCTGCTCTGCTGGGGGTGGGCACAGAAATGACCCACAGCTCCTCCAGCCCCTAAGCACACCCCTAAATTAAGCAAAACAATAGGAAAAAACAGGAAAAAGGAAAGAAGCCTTCATGTGTTTGCATGTGTCCACATGCACAGGTGTGTGTGTGCATATGCATACCACCCCCCCGCCCCCAGCACACACTCAGCCTTGCAGATATTACACAGCTCATTGCTCTGTCCTGAGGACTGCGCTGCCACCACACCGGAGAGGGGGACAGACAGCTGCCTTCAGACTCAGCACCGTATCCACAGTGGGTGTAAGCTGGCAAAGCTCCAGCTCCAACGTGCGTGTGAAACAGCTTACGCTGTGACTCCTCTAATTCATGCTGTATCTGGTGCTGCCACATTCATTCAGAGAATATGAATTTTGCAGCAGAAGCATCAGCTTCACGAATTCAGCTTTCAGAGTGTAATGTGTCATCTTCCTGCTTGGACATGATTTTCTTAAAGAAGCAATTACTGATCTTTTTCAGTACAATTGCCAGCTCCCCCATTAATCACTCGCAATTATAAAATAGAATTCTGCTAAACAATTGGTCCCAAAGGGCCACTAATCAGAGCAGTTAATAGTGCTCAGGTTTTTGTTCTGCCTAGGAAGCCAGTGGAGGTGAGGAGCTTTAGTCCCGGAGATCTGGGCTCTCTGCTGGGTTTTGTATTCCCAGCGTGTCCCAGAGGAGAGGGGAGGGCTGTGCGTTCACTGAAAATTGTCTGCTACCCTCCAGCCCCCCTCTCTCTGCATCTCGCAATGTTTCTACTTTCCAAGTGACCTCCCATTCTAGCAGGCAGCCCAGATGATATATCTTACTGTGCTTCCACAAAGACACTTTAATTCTGTGTTATGAAGACACTCTCTCTAATTACTTCAGTTAATTAGTGCTTCACAGCCACCACAGATTAAACAGAAGGCGAAGCCCACGAGGATGCTGCACCGTCCTTGCCCACCTACGATCAACTGTATTAATGACACCCTGTTAGCTGACCCTCGCGTTGTGCGAGAGGGGAGCCCCGCTCCGCTCACTGCCCTAACAGGTCAGTTCAAACACCCCAGCTCCTAAATCCCTGCTGAGGACAGCAGGCAATTTAGACCTGAGTGCAGCAACTAATTAAATCAATATGAGATAATGAACAGCAATTAGAGGTCCAGCTAGGCACATCTTCTCTTGTAAATACTGTTTCTCTCCCAACGGGAAGCTCTTTTTTAATAATCTGTTTGTGTTTCATTTCCAGGAGCCGTAATTCCCCAAAGAAGCAATTTGGGAAAGTGATTTGTTTGTCTGTATAATTGCCAAAGCACTTAGTTAGACTTGTTTGTTTTTCTTAGCTCCTGCTACTCCCTGAAAGAAACAATGCAGATATTTCTTGTATTATTTTATCTTCTCTTTGATTTTTTTATGTTCTGGGGTGGGCGGTGCGTGTGGGGGGGGGGGAATTCCATTCCCTTCTGTGAGCTCTGGATTTGGCTCCTATCTGAAGCTGGGCATCATCACGCACCCCTTTCCCTTCTGTCTTAGGGCTCAGAAGGTCAAAGGCCAGCCAAGGAAGCAAAATAAACTCAGGGCCTAAAGTCATGAGTGATGAGCTTAGGAAGCGGAACCCTGGACCCCACAAATCCAGGTGCCAGCACCATCAATCCAGCCAGTGCCTGGTCCATCAGTGGCCACTGCCAGATACTTTGAGATTATTGGCAGGATAATCACTGCAAGGGACTTTTCTTCGTCAACCTCTTTGGGTAGGAGCTGCCTCGTCTCTCAGAGCATGAAGTCTTCCTCTATAATTTTATCATATCTAACGGGAGTGTGGTTTCCTTATGATCTGTATGCAAATCCAGTACTGTGCTGAACTTTATGAACCTTTTTCTCTCAATAGTAAGTTGCAGCAGTAAGTTCCACAGGTCAGTTTTGCATCACAAGAAATACCATTTCCTCTGACAGCTTTCAGTGTGTTACCTTTCATGGAATTGCCCTATTTTTTTTCATATAGCAAAACTTTTGCAGATGTTCTCCATCCAAATTAGTCTTATCTCTTTTGCGGTGTTACACACTTCTGTTTTGTGTCATCCCAGTCTGGATCTTTTCACCATCTCCTTATGTGGAAGTTTTTCCAGACTTCTTATCTTGTGCACTGGCCATGCTATGATCCCTTCTGTTTCTGCTCTACTTGTTTTTCTCTGTGACGGTGTGATTGGAGCAGAACACTCTGTGCTGGGGAGAGCACAGCATCAGCTTATGGTCGCATTAGGATATTTTCAGTACTATTTCCTATTGTACTTTCCACAGATCTTGACACATTGTTTCCCTTGCAACTACAGTTCATGGTGCAGAAGTTTCCATGAGCTATCCACAGTCACACCTAGGTCTTTCTCTTGACTGGCTGCAGCTCATTTACAGCCCTAACAAGATGCACGAGTAGTTCAGATTATTCCTTCCATTATGCATGATCATGAGCCAGTTAGTAACACATTTCATCTGCAGTGGGTTGCCCATTTGCAGAGTTTTGTAGATCTTTTCAGTTTCTCACAGTCTTTCCTGCCTTTAAATAAAACAAAGTCAACCTTCTCTTTGGCAATTTAATTAAAAAAAAACAGACCTCGGCTTTGGAGAGCCACACCTTTCCCACAGCTAAAGGTTAGTGGAGTTCATACTCGAGAGCTGACAGGTGAATATTGTTTTTACTATCAGAGTCATTTGTGCATAAGCTTGGAGCTTACCCCGTTACAAGGCTATGCTCCTGGCCTACCCACCACTTATGTTAACTAAATGGGATGTAAACAGGACATAAATAGTAGACAGGTTTTGGATGGGTGCCCTCACAGACACACACATCAGCTAGTAAGAGTGTGAATGAACTCCTTGCGACAGGGAATTGCTTCTCCTGTGCTACAAGATGGATAGGTATGAACAAGCATCCCAAAAGCACAAATTACTTGGGTTGAAATGATCTCTGAAAACTGAGAAATCCTGATTATTTACGCGTTTCAGCCAAGGAACATGTTCCACCTCTGCAAGGGGCATCTATTGCACCATTATTTTTGGGAGAGCCAATACCCCTGCCTGTTTACGCTTCCTGCAGAATTGCAGTGCCTGTAGATCCACATTATAAAGACAGTGCTCGTGGGGAACAGATCTTTACAGCCCATTGTTTTGTTTCTTGCTGCCCAAAATGTGAGATCTTCCAGGGGCAGAAAACGTTCTGACATCTGAAGAGGGACGGGGCTGCCACGTCCAAAGGGTCAGCCCGAGGGACAGCAGCCTCCACAGGCCGGTAGTGCAGGTGTCAGTGCTGAGCTGACAGAGCCAGCGGCAGATAACCGGATTCTCTGTGGACGAAACTTCATTAAAGTCTTCCAGGAATTCCATGTAGGTCCCGGCAACAGTGCAAATTTGCCAGATGCACATCCAGCAAACTTAGTGAGGCTGCCCATCCTCTTGGGAGGAGAGGGCTGGACGAAGGGGTCGCACACCACAACCGCTGAGTCCAGGGCTCTGCGTCTGCAATCTGCTCACAATGGATTTTGAAGCGAATCAGTGTTTGTACAGCAAAGCACTGTCCGTAGGCAGGTGCCAAACTCTTTTCAGTGCTTGCCCAGCCCTCAATGCACTTTCTGTCCATGCTTGATGGCCAAATAAGCAACCATTTTTAAGTTCAGAGAGGAAATCAGCACATTTTCCTCAGGCTGTCTTTCTCCTCATGCCATTCCTCTGGGATTAAAGAAGCAGCACCAGTCCCAGGAAACTTTCACATTCCACCCTCATTTGGAGCACCACCAAAAAGCAAATCCCACCGTGATTACGCCCAGCTTATGTGCCTGAGGACTCTGGGCTGACCAAATGCCTTGGAAACTGCACATACTGCCTTTGTATGATAGTAAACTTGCCATGTGAACGCTCGCTGCCACTGAGTCATATTAAATTGCAATAACCTTTCAAATTAAACCAAGCACCTTGTTTATTAGCAGTTAAATGCTTCCTTGAACCTTTGAGCTACAGCAGGACATAAGAAACTTTGTATACAATCACGTAATTGGATATCTATTGCTTGTTTAGTTTGGAGGCAATTAAATCGCAAACAGGTTATAGTCTGCATCCATATTAAATATGACTTTAAACGCTTCCTGCGGGGATCAGTTATTATTTAATTCAGCTGCAGTACAGGCCATATGCTGGGTCAGGCAATGCTTTGAAAGATGCAGGATGGAAGAGACCTGGGATCATTTCTGCATGGAAGTAGATGAGGAAAAGCAACCTCAGAGATGCACTGGCATGCCATGGGAAGCCCAAGCACTTGGCCAACTGCAGGTCACTGGAGTTTTAGCAGGAGGAAGAGGATGGTTACAGCTTACAAAGCATGCATGGCTGGCCTTCTGCGACAGAAAAAGGGTGCAGCTTCATAAGGCCTGCATATGTACTGAGATGCAATTTGAAATCTCAGTTTGGAAGCTGGAACTGGATGGAAATATTGTTAACAATTTTTTAACAGAAATTTTACATTTTTCATCATATCATTTCCAGATTATATTTAATTAATAACCTGAACCAATAAAAAAGATTGGTTCTTTTGTACTGAAAATATTTCCCAGGGTCTAAGAGTATCTTCAGAGGCTCTTCAATACCTCCACCCATACCCTGCTCTGTTATATCCTTGCCACGTTTAGGAGCTGAGCATTAAGAAAGCAAGAAGAGCCATGGGACCACTGGGTACTGACAAGAGCAAGGTGACCAAGGGATCCAAGCATGGAGTGGTGGGCACACATCACAGTCACGTAACAGAGGAGCAGGGAAAATCAGTCCCAGTCCATCCAAAGCCCCAGTACACGGCTTTCCTTCTGAATGACATCTTGGGTCCAACCCACTGCATCTATTCTATGCCACCACATTGCCTTTCTATCTTCCTTCCCCATTCCCAGGCTTGCTGTTGAAGCTGCCCCTCCAAAGTCACATGTGCTGTGCACGAACACAGCAGCTGGAACAAGCGGGGAAAATATCACACATTTAGGGCAAAGTGACAACACCGAGATTTTTCAGGAGGCTCCCAATCACAGCAGTCTCACACAGAGACAAATAGTGTCACCGTCTATTTTCCCTGCTGTCTCTGCAGGTTGTTATTCACATAACTAGCACAAGCATAGAAGATGGGCCACACAGACTTGAATTTCTGATCAAATGATGAGAGAAAATCATTTGTGATAAACAAAGTACGAGTGAAAATCAAACTCTTCTGCTTTCACAAGAATGTCCATGAGGAGTTTACAGTTGAGCAGTTGTCTGCCACTCGCATTTATTTAAAAACAAGCAAATAACCTTGGTTCTTCTACTCTTTTTCACAATTAAAAAGAGTCTCACTGGTGCTGAATACGGCTGCTTCTCGTTTGGGGTCTGTCAGTCACACCGTCACCATCTCTGGCTCTTGCTCAGGTAGACCCAAACTTCAATTTTAGGCTATACTTATAGTTCCTCTGATGCTTTATTACTGACATGCACGGTAGCCAAAGTGGGGATTATATGCTGGAGCAGAAAATGGAAAACACGCTCCAACTCGATTTTCAACAAAGCTGCTGGGTGATTCCTCGCACTTCTGCCAGGGAAACTCTGAGCCTGGGGAGGAAACAGCATTTGTCCTGCTGAGGAATAGGAGGAAAAGGCTCCTCCACAGGCTGTCCAGAGCCAGTGATCTTCTACCCTGGGTTTTATAGTCCATTATGCCTTTTAGCTGTCGTAGTCAGGCTTCACAAACATATAAGTACTGTCTAAGAGGAAAGGAAGCAGAGGGGGGTGAATGGCAATGCTGCACTCTGCCCTCTGCCCTCCTCTCCTAGGGCTCCTCCAGCACCACTCTCCTGGGGGTCTCGCACAGTTCACACGGAAGCAGCACAGAAAATTGCTGGGCCAGAGATATGGAAAACTAGAGACTGCAAACAGCTCTCCTTTGGAGTCTAGTCCTGCAGCAAGTGTGGCACAGACTACTTACACAACACCAGGAGAAGTGGAAATGTTTTGTATTGCCAAAAATCACAAACTGTATTTTTCTTCTCTGTCTCTTGTACTGCTGAGCTGACTCCTTCAGGGCAAATATTCAAACCGTCTCTCTGTCTAACATCTCAAAACCTGAAGCTGAACAGTGTTTTCCTTACAGCTTTGAAAAGAGACAGGCATATTTTGACAAACTAAGATTATCTGAAATCATCTCTCTTAGAGTGAGCGGTTGGTGTATAGAACTTAATTATAAATTAATTAATAGTGGTAAATTTACAACCCAAACTACAGGGAGAAAGATGAAGGAAAGATGATTTCAAAATGAATGCGGTAAGTCTTAACATACAGAGCCAAAATAAAAGTCACTCTCCTAGCAAAAACTCCCAAAACGCTGGCAAAGTGCCTGGGAGCAGTGGATACAGGCTGCTGCTTCCATGATTTTACCACCATCTTCGACCCACTGGCCTGCCTCTGAAGCCTCTGAAGCCCTGATTAGGAGCTATTCTTCCCACCGACCTACTTAAACATGTTTTTATAGCACATTTCAGAGCTGCCCGAGTATGGAGACAAGCTGGGCAACGTGGCCACATTATGTTTGGAAAGCTTAAATATCAGAAGGCAAAAGAGGAGAAAAAGTACTTTAAATAATTATTTAAAACCAAATTCAGGAATTTTAGAGCATCTTGGGCTGGAAGGTGGATTTGCACCTAGCTAGCCAGGGATACATGGTCCTTCCAGCGCCCCTCTATCGGCACTGGGCTGGCCACGAAAGCCTCGGCCAGCTCCCAGGAGCGGGCTGGTCTAGGGCGTGAGAACCCTTCCTGTCGTGGCAGGGACAATTACAATTGCAGCATGCATTTATGAGGCAGGAAGATCACTTTTAGGTCAATGATTACTTTCGTCCCTTTTGTCTCTCTCTCTCTCCCAAGCTAGCAAAGCAGGGAGCAACCGCGGAGCAGCTAGTCGTCTGCTGCCGGCAGGGACACCGCACGGACCTCCCCGGGAGGGTCCGGGGAGCCGGCCGCCGATGGCTCACAGGACACTCCGCAGGCACGTGGGGCTCATCTGAATATTCCTGTCTTACTCACACTGGCCTTGAGCCTTAGGAAAAACAACCAAAGTCACTATGAAAACAGAGGGCTGCAGAGGAACTAGTGTTAACAAGGGCAAACACCATCAGGTGCTGCACTGCCAGCCGTGGAGAAGCAGGTAAATCCACTACAGGTGCTCCAAAACAAAATTTAACATTCTGGGCTGGACAGTGAGAGGTGGCAAAACGCACATTTGCTCAAATTAATCCTGGCATCCTGGCCTGGCAGAGAAGCCTATGATGTACCTTATGTCCGCTTTGCTCCGACCCCCGTCTCCTGGGACGATCACTCAGTGGAGTGGATCCTCTGACTCCTCACCAGTCCCACTGATCGGAGCAGGTCAGGCCATGGTGCAATCATGCTCCTTTTCCTTATCTGTGAACGTATTTATAAGCAAAGGTGATTTACAGTGAAAGATAGGGAAGGGATTTAAGATATGTTAGGGTAAAATGTAAAGCAATTATTTCCTTTCTTTTACATTTTTAAAAATATGATTAATAAAGGAAAAACGCAGGATGCACTTGCAACGAGCTCAAGAGAAAAGCAATATCACAAAGAGGTCAGAAATGTTTTAAATTCCACTACCGAAAAATACAGTCACTTTATAGAACTGTGACAAAAAGGGAAATCCTGACGTTTACCTCTGTTTTTCACCCCTCATCTCCCCTGCCCTGTCTACTACATTTACAAAGAGATCCCGAAGGAACACATTGCTTCCCGATTGCCAGGTTTAAGTTTCTGAGACACTCAGTACGGTCTCTTTAGGTCTGCCCAGTTTCAGCTCGCCCGGGTGAGCGAGGTCTCACCGCTGCAGAGAAGTCTCCCTCTGCTGAGCAGAGAGAAACAAAAGCAGCAAGTGGTAATTTCGCTTAATCGGGCATCAGCCCAGAGAGATCTGTAGTATTTATCCCTGCCGAGCACAGGGAGAAATCTCTCCGACTGCGTTACTAGTGGAAGAAAACACACGGCATCCTAGCAGCGCGCCGCGCGCTGAAAACACCGGTGGCTCCTGCCGGGGGCGCGGGAAAGGCAGCGCAGCGGGGCTCGC